AGCCATACCTTTGGATCGTTAATAAATGCTCCATTTTTAGTATTTGGAGGTGTATAACCACAGGTTGCATATTTCAGACATTCAATGATTGTCTAAAAAAGAAATGTTAGCATAACAGCGTTAGATACAGAATGCAGCGATAATTAACCTTACTGTATATACTTTAATTAGCTTCATTAATGAAAGGATTGGTAGAGAAGCTGAATAATGAATATGCACACTGCCCAGTGCTATTATTCAATGTAACGCATGATGATAGGCGCAGTTGAGCGTCGAGCAACATTTAAATTTCATTTTTTTTCAATTCAATGTAATTCTATTGCAAACAAACTGTGTCATTTTACAGAGTGTAACAAACTATTGGAGATCGGTATCATCTGTTGAAAGAGACAAACTGCCCATCGATATCGAACTGAGAAGCTCATGACTTTGCTGGTATACAGTAAAGTATATCGTGTCCAGAAACAAGCGGTAATAACTATGTTTAGAATTGCTATCACTGCACAATACAGTAGAAAGGAATACTATCCTTCAATTACCGTTTTGCCAGCACCATTATTACCGGTAATAACAGTTAGTGGTTTGCCAAACTCGATAACACCACCTTGTTGACTTTGCGGGCTAAAACTACGTATGCCCACGATCAGCATTCTATCGATCGACGACATGGCTTGGTTGCATTTGATTTCTTCCGTAGAATCGACTTAATTTCCAGCAGATTGCTAAACTATTTCCAGCCCACTTGGTAATAATTTCTTCGCCTGCTGGTTGGGAGAGTAACTGTTGCAGTTGAGCAAGTTTCTATTGAAACCAATACAAGCAGTAAACGTCACAATTTCTGGAATTTACCTACAACATTTACTGTGCTTGCAGTGCAAAATGGCGCTCGAGCTTGAATGTGTGCAAGCAGTGTTTAGCCTATTCTGTACAGTACAGTACAGTATAGACCATGACTGTTGCTGTACTGTACGTATACTAGAAGTGTTGACAGTATTACATAATAACAATAATAAATTCGTCTAATTAACTAATTAAAGTACAGTAAGCCTACAGACCGCTGGCTATCCGGTCCAATTGGGCTCGTTGCCCTGATTTGCATAACGACATCCTAAAATCCTGAAACCCGCCCGAATTGTACTATAGGACATCGCCTAGCCAACTTTATATTGTACATTAGGCCCAGCCATGTCAATTTCGATATCTTAAATCGTGTCTTAAATAAGCCTACAGACCGCTGGCTATCCGGTCCAATTGGCTCGTTGCCCTGATTTGCATAACGACATCCTGAAATCCTGAAACCCGCCCGAATTGTACTATAGGACATGCCTTAGCCAACTTTACATTGTACATTAGGCCCAGCCATGTCAATTTCGATATCTTAAATCGTGTCTTAAATAAGCCTACAGACCGCTGGCTATCCGGTCCAATTGGCTCGTTGCCCTGATTTGCACAACGACATTCTGAAATCCTGAAACTCGCCCGAATTGTACTATAGGACATGGCCTAGCTAACTTTACATTGTACAGTAGGCCCAGCCATGTCAACATCGATATCTTAAATTTGTGTCTTCAATATTCAGCGTAAATTGCTTAATTAGAGGACAATTTTTCACTCTTACAGTCAAAATGGATACCATTCTTCAAAGCGCAAGATGTACAGTACTACAGTATATAGTGTACAGACTACTTTTTTCCATCTTACTGTATCTCGATGACAAAACACTGCACTTTTGTGTAAAGTACTGTAAAATGTGGCACTACATTGGTGAACATTTTGTATTTTATAAGTTTACAAGTTACAAGTAGCAATGCAATCAGTTATTAATAAAGTAATCGAGCCTATAAGAATGCATCAAAGGGAAGAGTGTTGGATGCATCGTAAGTTCATTGCTCTGATTTACATGCCTACAGCATGTTATATATGCACACACTACTTTTTCGAGCAGAGTTAAACATTTCGTATTTTGCAGGTTTACATGTAGCAATGCTACCAGTCATTAATGAAGTAATTCGAGCCTAGGATGATGGACAAGAATGCATCCAAGGAAATAGTATTAGATGCGTCCTAAGCTCGTTGCTCTGATTTACATGCCTACAGTGTGTTATATATACACGAACTACTTTTTCGAGCAGAGTTAAACATTTCGTATTTTGCAGGTTTACATGTAGCAACGCTACTAGTTATTAATGAAGTAATTCGAGCTTAGGATGATTGACAAGAATGCATCCAAGGAAATAGTATTAGATGCGTCCTAAGCTCGTTGCTCTGATTTACATGCCTACAGTGTGTTATATATGCACGCACTACTTTTTCGAGCAGAGTTAAACATTTCGTATTTTGCAGGTTTACATGTAGCAATGCTACCAGTTATTAATGAAGTAATTCGAGCCTAGGATGATGGACAAGAATGCATCCAAGGAAATAGTATTAGATGCATCCTAAGCTCGTTGCTCTGATTTACATGCCTAAAGTATGTTATATGTGCACACACTACTTTTTCAAGCAGAGTTAAATATTTCGTACTTTGCAGGTTTACAAGTTGCAATGCAACCAGTAATGAAGTAATTGGAGCTTATAGTTAATGACAAGAATGCATTAAACGAAAGAGCGTTGGATGCATCCTATGCTTACTGTTCTAATTTACATACCGACATAAGCGTACGTACTGAGTATAGAAGAAGCCATGCTTATATGGGTATCTGCACAACGGTAGCTTTCTGTAGAGTAGAGTTGTACCTGTACAGTGTACATTGGTAAACATTTCGTATTTTGCAGGTTTACATGTAGCAATGCAACCAGTTATTAATGAAGTAAATTCAAGCCTATCGTTATTGACGAGAATGCAACCAACGAAATAGCGTTGGATGCATCCTATTCTCGTTGTGAGGCACTACTTGAATACTAGATTCCATCTGCACATTTACGAGGCGTCGTGAGGTGAAAACCATTTACTGTACGAGTATATCATACTGGCTCTTGGCGTACTTGTGCTTGCACCTGTTTAAACGATCTTGAACACCACATTCAATTCCCCTTACATTCATTCATTCACCCTACAAATCTTGATTACACTGTAGATTCTAGTGGGCATTTTAATGCGGCGCGAGAAGTATAGGTTGCACTGCCTGGACTCATTCACAACAGCACAAAATCAGCATTTTTTTGAGTAACAATTAACAAAGGACCCTCCTTATTTTTAGTTCCGTTGTGTAGAATTAATTCATCTACTGTTCTCCAATCTTGTCATGGTAATTATTATGATTATGATTCTATACAGTATTGTAAGTACTGCATGAAGGCGCACAAAGCTTTCAACAAGGTGAACTCTACTGTATAATGTACATGACAATATATATACATGCTTTTGAGTCTATATCGTATATTGCATAATCATGTGAGCATATGGATTACAATTTTGCCTAAAATTATTATTCCATTTTAGCAACTTGTAAAATAATACTTTGCGCTATTGGAAAGCATACTGTAACCACGCAGTGTAGTACCAAGCCAACCAGATTGTGTACAGGTACATCGACAGTAAACGTCCAAAAAATTTTGACCTCGAATAAAGAGGAGAAAACCTTTTCCTCCAATAAGTGCAGTACTGTCAGAAAGGAAAAGGCTTTAGTTAGCTAGGGAAATTGCTACGGAAAACCTTTTCTCCCAATAAGTGCAGTACTGTCAGAAAGGAAAAGGGTTTAATTAGGTAGGGAAATTGCTACGGAGAACCTTTTCCCCAATAAGTGCAGTACTGTCAGAAAGGAAAAGGCTTTAGTTAGCTAGGGAAATTGCTACGGAAAACCTTTTCCTCCAATAAGTGCAGTACTGTCAGAAAGGAAAAGGCTTTAGTTAGCTAGGGAAATTGCTACGGAAAACCTTTTCCTCCAATAAGTGCAGTACTGTCAGAAAGGAAAAGGTTTTAATTAGGTAGGGAAATTGCTACGGAAAAGGGGGGGGGGGGGAATTTTTTGCTTTGTTGCCAGTGGTCCCTGGTACTGTAATAACATGATAACCACACCTACAATTCGCCATTTAGAAGTCTAGAACCAGTTAGTGCTTTTGCACTTGTGAATACTGCACATGCACAGACTGTAAACATCCTATCATCACCAGGGAATCTTCGTACTGGTTGGTCTATCGATCTGCTTGAGGTTGCAGTGCCAGCGTTGTATTCTCACTTATAACTGTTGAACTAACTGTATCTCTCTACATTAACAGCAAGATCCATCGATTGCAACTGGTGTGAAAGAGACGTCGAAAGGATATTTACAACTTATTATTGACATTGACAGGATTTAATGATTCTAAAAGTTGTCTCTTGCTGTAGGATTGTGTTCAATCGGACTGTAGCAAGGGCAATTGCTACAACGATGGTAGACTATAAGGTAAACTTAGCGATAAAACAAGATCATTATGTAATAGATACGATGTAGATAGCTAATTAGAATGATCGCAAAGGTCATTTGATCTAGTAGTGGCGTAGAAATACTGCAAGTCATTACAGTTATACAGTATACTGTATGTTGAGCAGTGATATTGCCTGATGAAATGGATGCTGTCATTGATGAAATTCAAGCTCATTGACTAGAATGGAAATGATATTCGACTCTTGTTGTCATAAAACTGTTATTGCAATATTTAATATTCCCGATGACTTAAACTGCCATCAATCTGCTAACAATGTGCTACGGCCACGGGCCAGTTCTTTACTACTTCGGTGCACATTCATTTTCTTTCAACGGTATGCCAGATTTGATGGTTGTTCAGTGAGAAGTAGCAGAACGTAATGTACTCCTGCAGAACTCAAAAGTCATCGCCATAGTCATCACTGTGTGCAGTAACTGTACGTATAATGCAGACATGCAAAGCTTGTATAGATCGAAGCTGAAATCACATCGACTTACGATATAACGTACATTGATCTATCAGAGTTTAACTTACTTACTTCATACAGTATAAACGACCAGCTCAATTTTTTCTAACTTCGACCTCTCAATTTCATGGATGCATTCTGCTCCAATGAATTTCACCATGCAATATTGTACCGTAGTGGATTTCCAGATGATCAGAGGGTAACTTACGTCGCACAGTTGAAGTAATCAGCTCAATTTTTTCTAACTTCGACATGTCAATTTCATGGATGCATTCGGCTCTAATGAGTTTCGGCATGCAATACTTGTACCGTAGTGGATTTCCAGATGATCATACGTTAACTTATGTCGCACAGTTAAAGCGATCAGCTCAATTTTTTCCAACTTCGACATGTCAATTTCATGGATGCATTCGGCTCTAATGAGTTTCGGCATGCAATACTGTACCGTAGTGGATTTCCAGATGATCATAGGGTTAACTTATGTCGCACAGTTAAAGCGATCAGCTCAATTTTTTCTAACTTCGACGTGTCAATTTCTTGGATACATTCTGCTCTAATGAGTTTCAGCATGCAACACTGTACAGGAGTTGATTTCCAAACACATCGAATACACTTCTTAGCTCATAATCTAAAGTAGCATTATAGTGGATGGGAATTACAAACCACAAACTAAAACCTGGACCAAATACGTACTGTACAGTTAGTCAGTAAGCAACCTCTCCATAGACAAGTCGCCAAGCAAGCATTAGCATGTGTCATAGAGTATTGAATGATAGGTTGAGTAAATGATATCGAATGCAATCTGAATGTACAGTACTTCAGTTTTGTCTTTAATATTAAACAAGTTATAGATTTATTAGAAGATATGATATTCCTCCTATAGTTTTTTAAACCCTCAATCTTTGGATAATGACGTAAAGAACGTTATGATGCATACTAACTTGACATATTCACGTTGTAATTGTATTTCATAGTCTACCGTCGATGCCCTTAACAATCTCCAAAGTAATGCTATGACTTTGAAGATCATCTCTAATAGTGGTAGCGAAAAGGAGGTTAACGTTCATCGAACAATAACTTGTTTAAACCGAATTGGTCTATCGGTATGTTTAATGATATAACAATCAATCCCATACGTTGATCAGAATATGTAGTGAACCAATGATTTTAACACTTAATCAATACACCATATTTCTGTAGGTGGACGATTTAGATTCGTTGTCTATAATTCATGTTAGTGGCACCAAAGGAAAGGTATGTCTTTTTTTATCTTGTGAAAAAGTAAAGCATGAGTTACCTGAATTAAGTCAATGCGGTAAATTTTTATCAGGGTTCAACTTGTGCTTTTACTGAAAGTATACTTCGTGCTCATGGATACAAAACCGGATTCTACAGGTGAACTATTAAAATCAGATGAATAATTTATGTATTGTTTTCTAATGAAATCGTAGCTTAACGATAGTTATCATTTTATAGCTCACCACACCTAATCGAAGTGCGCGAGCGGATTAGGATAAATGGAGTACCTCTTTCGAAAGAGGTCTTCACTTCCTACTTCTGGACTGTTTACGATCGGCTTGAAAAATCAAAAGTAAGCTGATAATAGAGCGCCAACATGTAAACATATATATCCGAAATCAATCTAATAAGATTCGTCTGAATGATGTTTCAACTAGGAGGCAGATGATAACTATATGCCAAGTTATTTCAAATTCTTAACTGTACTAGCATTTTATATCTTTTTCTGTGAAAAGGTAAGCATAAGCTAGCATAGTTAATGCATGAAATCGTATGAATGGGAAATATGAACTTTTCATTTTAAATGGTTATAAATAAATAAAGGTTGATGTCTCCATCATTGAAGTGGGTATTGGTGGTACATATGACTGTACTAATGCGATAAGGTATACAAAAATTGTATTATATGCAATTGTGATAATTTTATTAAAATCGAAGCACGTGCAGATTTAATTCTTTACTTTATCAACTCTATGAATTATCTCCATGGCAGAAATCCAGTAGCATGTGGTATATCATCGCTCGGATTAGATCATACTGCTATATTAGGGAAAACTATTGAAGAAATTGCTTGGCATAAAGCTGGAATAATGAAGGTAAACGTATAAAATTGACTATTGCCGGTGAACCTGATGTAAATTTGAATCATATGTACGAATATATATCCTATCAAATATGAAATAACCATTTAACCCTGAAATAAGTACGTATTCAGGTGCATAACTAGCGCGGCATGTCATGAAATGTTTATAAATTTTAACTTTTAATTCGATAGCCGGGTACATCTGCTTTTACTGCTCCTCAGGTGGATTCAGCAATTACTGTATTACAAGAGCAATCGAACGAAGTAAAGGTAAATACATTGCATAGAAAGAAATCAATTACAGATTTCATTTTCTATGGTTGTCTTTTAACGCTTATACTATATATTTATTTCTGTATAGCCAATCGGTATGTATGAGGTAATAAAATGAAAATAATATCGGCCTCTATTCTTCACACAACTTTTAGGCAGCACTGCAAATCGTGCCACCTTTATCTAGCTACCCGGGTACAGAGCCAAGTAAGTATGATTTATAGAAGATTGAATCAAGTATTAATTTATGTCAATTGAATCTTAACAATATCTATCATATGATCACATGTACTACAGAACTTGGAATTGACGGTGAAGTACAAAAGTGGAATGCATCATTAGCGATACAACTAGCAAATACGTGGCTAGAAAAAAATGCTAAACAATCGAAGACTCATAATGGTGAGATATTAATCCTAATCTATTTATATCTTATTTCAACTTAATCTACGTGCTTGTAGGTTAATGTAGTGTTATGTATGCATGTATGTAGCTAGTCAAGTATACTAAATTTAGGTTGTCATTATCTCGATATTAGGTGATCAGCAATTGCAAACCGGCAAAGGATTACCAACTGCAAGTACATTTCCACTAAGTGAAAATTTTAAAGCAGGTCAGTAAAATCTCTTTAGAAAACGTTCAGCGTTATTGGAAATTAAAATTTTTACTACCGGTAGGATTACAAAGTTGCGTTTGGAATGGTAGATATCAAATGATGAAATACGACGGTGCTACATTCTATTTTGATGGTGCTCATACACGAAATAGCATCCAGGCAAGGGTTTACCTGTAATAGATGAATATATATAGCAGAGTTATAATTACATTTATTTGATAATAGGGTTAGTTTTGTAGTAATTCTATTATTCAAAGTTTGAATTTTATCGCCTTCTATTGGAAATATTTATTAGCAGTAGTTTTTATAAATCATGATTAGTTTTATAGTAATTCTATTATTCAAAGCTTGAATTTTATCGCTTTCTATTGGAAATGTTTAGTAGCAGTAGTTTTTATAAATCATGATTAGTTTTGTAGTAATTCTATTATTCAAAGCTTGAATTTTATCGCTTTCTATTGGAAATGTTTAGTAGCAGTAGTTTTATAAATCATGATTAATTTTTCACTGATTTGTTCTTCTTTAATTGTAAAATAGACTGCAGTTGAGTGGTTTCACAACAAATCCACTATTGAAGCCACGAATATTCGGTATTACGATACTGTTATAACTTCATTTTGATTGCTTAAGTAAGTAATAACATTTTAGATTGCTAACGCTGTTCTTTTAATATTATAGAGGTTCTGTGGCCCGTATATTAATCTTTAATTTGAGTGGCAATCGCGATAGCAAAACTTTGTTAAAACCAATCATCGTAAGTGTTTTTAATGTTTAGGCAACCTATCTATTTTAATTTCGCCTATTATCCTATCCTGGAAGTAGTTTTCATTAAATCATTAAAAATTGATGTTCTAGAACACAAATATCGATTATGCGATATTTTCACCCAATATTTTGAAAGAAAACCATTCGTCGCCAGGTACATGATTGTAGCTGTAATTGTGAATCGCATAAATTTCTAATTGTACCGATAGCATTTTAATGCGAATGTATAATATACTTATTAGATACAGTTAATCGTAACGAAACTACTAATGCAGCAATGCAGCGATGCAATGAAAACTTATCTGCTTGGATGGAGTTAAATGGATTGTCTAATCCAACAAACAGTCGTATTTGTGGATCAGTTAATGAAGCTATATCTGTTATTAAAGCTATTCATAAAGCTAAATCTCTTAACTATATGAATGATAAGACTATCGAGAAGGAAAAAAAATATATTCATCTGCAGATTTTGGTTACAGGTAGCCTACATTTAGTTGGTGATGTTTTACAAGTATTACAGACTACACAGTTCTAACAGTAAAATTATGATGGATACAATGTAGCACATGTCTTTAATTACACCATTTAGCAAATGCTGTCTTAGACTAGGGTTGTTACGTGCATACCCACCAATACAAATACGATGTAGTAGGCGAAAATGCACTGTTCTGCGGTATCATGTTTCTATTATTACTGTCACTTAATTACGAATCGCATTGTATTATAGATCTACGAGTACATTTTTTTATCTTTTTTCATTTTGTAATACAGAATTGTCATAGATTAACGAAGACTTTAATTAACATCTAAGTCACTTTCATTGCTCTATTTTATATGGCAGAATGATCACATTTCATTTATTACTGTAACGCCAACCAAACAACTGACGGTATTTTGTAATGCAGAATTGTCATAGATTAATGAAGACTTTAATTAACATCTAAGTCACTTTCATTGCTCTATTTTATATGACAGAATGATCACATTTCATTTATTATTGTAACGCCAACCAAACAACTGACGGCATTTTTCGTTCAGTTAAATAGACCTGACAATGCTGTCTACGTAAGAATTATTCATGGAAGTGTTTTCATTATCTTGGAAAAATATCAATGCTATACTTTGCAGCCGTACGCACTCAACGTTATGCAATTGCGTAGTACATCACTAGACGCCTTTTCTATTTTTTGTGTACCTTTATACTTGTAATATTTTAAACCAACTCGAAACTACTGAAAAGACAAATAAACGTTACATTACGTTAATGACATACTTTATTTTTGTCAATTCAATTTAAATAACGATCTAACGGATCCTAAAATAGCCGAATCTTTTAATATTGATTGATTAATGAATTAATCAAATTTGAAAATAGTTTAAGCGTTTGAAAATATCGGCAAAAAATTGCAGTTAATAAATGATATCAAAAATAGATAAGAAATTACTCTAAATGGCACGATAGTAAGCCACTCTCGCTCGATGATCCCTAATTAATGCAGTTGATATCTGCGACTCTACGTACCAGTGAAAACGTTAACTTAAGTTTGAAACATACGTATTATATAGTAGATAATGTTTATTGCAGGGCGATTTAATAGAGCGCAAGAAATAACATCTACACCTGCAATGATTGATATCACAAGTCAGATCTGTCATACCGAAAATTATTATTCTACCATAATATACATATGATAAAAGGACAATAAGAAAATACTAGAAAACATGACATTGCGACAATTATTCATTTTCTTACTTAGTATGAAAATATCGCTTGTAACGCGGGAGGAACTGATTTACAGCTCTTCGCGAAGAATATTCAAGTTGCCATAATCAGTTAATTTACTACCAGCTAAAAGGTTTTGATGAGCTAAAGCTTCCCGTATAGTCAGTCTACCATCATGATCAGTGTCAGCTCCTTCTAATAGATGCTGAACTTCTTCATCAATATATTTCCTATCTGGTATCACCCATTCCTTTAATTCAGATGTACTCAATTTTTGATCACCATCTTTATCATATTTAGCAAACTCTTTTTTCTCATTCTTAATCCAGTCATCCTCTTTACCATCAGAATTGCCACTATCACCTGATATAGAATAATTATAATAGTAATCATGACTATCAAGGAAACAACTCTGAGTTAAGAACTTTACATAATACTACTGCAGTAGACTTCTTGATTTACAAAGGAAAATTGAATGCTGCATCAACAGCATTATGATACGATATTGGCAAAATATCTATAGTACAGCGTAAGACATTTCTAGTGTTTAATATATTGTACGGTATATCTATATCTATATACAAAAACATCCAATATTATACACCTATTGATTTTAATAGTTTCAATACTAATATTTATTTTCATTCCGAAAGTAATATAGTGCTTACCAATCATTTCGGAGAATTCCACATAGCCGTCATTGTTTTTATCTATCTCGTTAAGAACATCGGTGACAACCACCTGTGTTCAATTGAGAGAGCAATTTTAGCAATAGAAAACTAATTCAGATATAACAAATACAGTAGGTATAAAATTTGTGTATCGTCCTCAAAACGTTTCATTTCTACTCAGGATGTACTGTTCTAGGATGGCGTTACTTGTTATCCCGTAATTAGCTACTGTAGATGTGTGACCATTCAACAGAGACTTTTCGTTCTAGGATGGCGTTACTTGTCATCCGTAATTAGCTACTGTAGATCTGTGACCATTCAACAGAGACTTTTCTCATTTTTACAATCCATGGCAATGTCTATATCCATGCTTTGGCATAGTTATAATTTTAAATTCTACTAATATACTATCATTCGCTGTACTATAGTGTATGTATTGTACGCAATGCTACTATTTACAGTAGTACATATCTATTGTCTTTTCAAGAGGCATTTTAAACCAATTGAGTACAACGTGACAAATAGGAGTGAAAAATAATTCATCATTACGACACTCCTACTAAGACAAGTTCTTGCATCTTTAGCAAATTGTTAGCCTACATTAAGATTGGAATGATTATTTTTATCCGTACTAACGTCTGATAAATGCTGATGTCGTTCAGGATGTTGGTATGTAACAAATTCATCAAAGGATAGACTTTCACTATTATCAATGTCAGCTAAGGCAAATTTTCTCCTTTCCCTATCAACATATTTACTGAATTCTTCACTTTTAGCAATATCTTCATCGACGGTATCACCAAAAGTATGCTTGGATATTTCTTTAAAATCGATCGATTTACTCTTATCATCATCCATCTCTTCAAAGACTACTTTGGCATCATTCGCCAATCGATCATTATCAATCTTTCTTAACCATTGTTCCATTTCTCTTTCACTAATAATTTTATCGTGATCGGTATCTACTTGATGCAAGAGCGATCGCAATCGTTCTTGAACTTCTTTTTCTGGTAATTCTTTAAATAATGTAGCACGATCACGACCAAGAAACATTTCTGCATCATAATCAGGATTATGTTGTCCATCTTTTAAGTAATGCTTCTCTTCCGGTTCATCGTGGTGGGTTTTAACCTTAATCTTTTCATGCTCGTTGTCGCCATTTCCGTATGCAATCAAACATACAAAGCAGAAAAGTACAACTAATCTCTTGATACTTGATCGATATTCCATTCTTTGTATTCCACTTGTACTACTTTGGAATGTTTCCAATCACAAGGTACTTCCAACTTGCAATTTAATAATAATAATGTGAACTCTTGATGATCCGACAACCTGCTTTGAGCGATGGAGACGATTGGTTAACTTGGTCAAGCGTTGAGTCACTATATATTATACAGTATATATAGTATTGGCTTAATTAATGGACTGTACTCTAGGTCAAGCGGTAGGGTAGTAACGTTGAAGTGACTGATTGTTGCATACTAATTACTGTATGAGATAATCGTCACAATGCAATTGGCAAGACAAATCGATTGCCATCGTCCACATCAGCCCCAACGTTCACTCTAGGGAACAAACTCAAACTTCCCTGACTGTCGACTGCATTGTATGCCGGGTCACGTTCGCACCTTGTACCGTCAGTATTTCACCTTGTCACTACTATTGTTGTCACCACTGGATGATTGCTGACGTGTCAGTCAGCAATTGATGACTGACTCTTTCAAACAATCGATGGGTTAATCAAGACTAGATATGATTGATAAAAATAACAATTGTATGAAGAAATGATAGATATAATTGATAGAAATAACAATTGTATGAATCAATGGATAGCCATGGACAATGAGGATGGAAATAGAGTAGACGTAAGTCTAGCTCAATTTCCTCATCACTCAATTTGGTAGTACAGTATATCATTTCTGGATGGCCAACTGCATTAACTGGAAGATGGATGATTTACTTTTATGGATGAGTTGATTGATTGAAAATTTCTTTGCTTCCGTATCTACGATGCAGTGAATCAAATTGGAGCTTGAATGCCATGGCGGAGAGCCATGGCAAGGAGAATTGGGGTGTGATAGAGGAGTAAAGTCGAGGGATTGTCTTCTATAAATCCAATATCTTGACGAGATGGATGATAGTGAATTATTACCGTATAGCGTGAGATTCAAACTACGGCAACTACGCTATATCGACTCTCTAGAACTGGAAATTGGTTGATTCTTCACTTGATATTGTAGTCTTCTTGACTACAGCCCGGACAGAGAAAAAGAAGGAGATAAAACACGAACAAATTATTGACATTTCTATCCGTATTATCATAAGCATTGACAATTTGAAAAACTCCTCAAGAAATCGTGAACAGTAAGCCCTAATTTGCCTTGCAGAATAAACCAGCAACATACAGTACTGTACAATGGACATCAGACGCGTACCAGTGCTGTTTTATACCTCTGTTTATTAAAAGAAAGCAAAGTATAGCTTGATGACATAAATGTTCTTAAAAAATAAAGGAAAATCAATACATTTATAAACTCACTACGATAATTTGCATGATCAAGCTACATACTGTGCTGGACTTGCTACTTGTAAGCAAGCCTGTAAATGGACACTACAGTTAAAACACAACACCAGATCTTTGGTACTGATATCACATACAGTATAGACTAACGGATCTCCAGAGTCTATTTTTCTCAATTACTTCTACTAATTTAAAAACATTTAGAACCTTATATAACTGCTATCCAGTAGAAATTAGTAAAATAGAATAGACTTCAATATTACTTAATTTAACTTTTTGGTGGAGGAGTCGCTGACTGTAGCAGAGACTTCTAATAAGAAAATGGGGGAGGTGCAACCTTCAGTGACCGCCCACTGTACTGTATTACGTTAGTCCATCTGTCCATAGCTTAATTAATTCTATAATTATCGTCAGGAATTAATTACAGTAATTAGTTAAGCTGCGGACAGATGGACGGCAGTGCGATGATACCATATCATGTTCAGATGTTCTGTAACTGGGTGTACAAAAGAAAGCAAGCTTCGGAGTTTCTGAGTAAGTGCTGACTGCTGACCTCCTCAAAAACTGAGGATTATCCAGAGAAATATTCCTAGCTAACCCACCATGAATCATGAAGGAGATATCGTCTTAATAACCGGTGCTACTGCGTAAGTGTAAAGTTATTATAGAATAGAACAACAATTCCTACATTCCATCATGATTACCTTACCCAGGCCTCCTGTTATACGAGTACATTATTCTTTGCATGCTACGCCAACATTATTTAGCTGCTTTCTGATGCAATGCTTCCAAAAGTGATAATATCTTCAGTATTATAGACCACTGCATGAATATGTCAAGTGTATTTGCCTGAATAAGTATAGTGCAATAAACAGTAATACGAAACTCACTTCAGTCTACCTCTAATCCGTCTCCTCACTCACTTTATCGATGACTTTTAAATCTAGCGGAATCGGTCAAGAACTTGCGCGACAATTAGTCAGCGAATTTCAGGACAGAATCACCATTTGCTTAGCTTGTAGAAATATAAAGAAAGCCAATGCAACGAAAGAAATGCTAATGTCACTATGCAGCACAGCAAAAGTTGATATTTTAACTTTAGTTACAAGCGATGCGAAATCTGTGATAGCTGTAGCCGAAGAGATTAAAAGAAGGTAGGAAAGCAATAACTAGTGCATACTCCGCCAGAATCTAAGTAAGGCAGACTGACATCATTTATCTTTCATAAATACGTACCTAATCTGAGTCTGAGAACACTTTACCTCGTGATGTACTGTAGTACTGTATAGATAACTTTATTAGAAATTATCATACTGACAATATACAGGTATATAACATGAGCCGATTACACTATGCGGTATTTTCTGCAGTGGATGATCTGTACAAACTCGATTGATTGATACGAACACAGTATACGCGTATAATCTATTGAATGATTATTCTAATTGAAGGGTTTTTACTCATTCCTTTCCTTTAGATACAGTTACTTAAATCACCTATTTCTAAATGCTGGCATTATGCCTATAACACAGTTTGATTGGTCCCATTTCGTAAGCGGTTTCAGGTCCTTCAGGTTTGTAATCGTATGCGCAGCTAACACTTGACAGTCTAATCTAAAAACATGATCATATTGCTTTCACTTAAATATTCTAATCCCTCATTTATTGATCTCTTTCTAGCTCCTTCATTAACATGTTTACAACTGGCGAAGGCCTCATTATCCAGAATGATAGCGTTACAAACGATGGCCTGCAATCTGTCTTCGCAACCAATTTGTTTGGCCATTATTTACTGGTTAATAACATATTACAGCAATTTTACACTAATTTTTTGACATCATCATATTAGCTTCAAGAATCGATTTATTGTCATGATGACAAAATTAAAACAGCAATTTCAATTTGTTGTTGCAGATTAGTGAGTTAGAAGACTACTTAGCAGCTAGCAACAAAATGACTCATATTGTATGGACTTCTTCCAGTGCTGCAAATCGCGCTTCGTTTTCACTAGATAATATGCAACACGTAAACGGGTAAGGTAAATTGATTAGCTTTTTCTCATACTTTAAATTATAGACTGTAAAAGGTAATTTTTACGCAGTAGATTCTTAGTCCTTGCAGTTAACGATAATATGTTCATAATTGAATAGGAAAGACCCATATGGTTCATCGAAGCATGCTATCGATTTATTAAACGTTAGTCTAAATGAGAAATTGAATTCTAAGGTTAGTTGACCGTGCATATGATAAAGTATTGTATTGGTTAATTAAGCGATTTAGTTTCTAGTATAAAAACTATAGATGATATTACTACAGGATTATCACAACATGTACATAAATCTTTCAACCACTCATTACAACGTATGTAGGGTATCTATTCTCACGTAACTTGCCCTGGACTGGTAATGACGAATTTAACGTATGGAATTATGTCCCCCAACTCTTGGTATCTGCTCTATCCTATTATCGCTCTTGTAAGTCAAATTTTCATGTTATTTTGTCAAAAAAATAATAACGAAGGCTAAAATGGAAGATTGTAAAAGTGCTTACACACAAGAGTCAAGCGGATATCACTTATCTTAAATTCTCTATTCGTAGTTGAGAATGTGCGTATCCAATCTGAACATCACTGCTGCAAATGGTTGTACAGCATTGGTAAGTACCTACCAATAAGAAACTAATTGTAGCTGTGATCACGGAATATACGTGGTGTTTTGCATTTTTAAAATTGGTCCAACGGAATCTATTATACTAACGGTATGGTGCTTTATACGTGTATTGCATGCAATTTAGCAATGGCTCTACAATCAAGTTCCAACCAAGCTTGAATACAAATGCAAATATTTCAGTCGATGCTCTTTCTTAGGTAGATCATTTGTGGAGACTAGAGAGGTATTTCGTAGTTAAACAACTCAAAGTTCTGTTAATGCGACACTTCGATTTTATTGATGTGTTAAATATGATTACTTTGTAGCTTCCAGTTGAATCGACCGCTTCCAACAATCTAAGAGAAAAATTGGATCAACTAATAAAGGAAGTAAAATCTAAATTACGTGAATAATTTTTTGAGTGTACAGCATTAAGATTCAACGCGATTGTAGTAATAATGGTTAATATATGTGTAAAAACCTATAAATCACGTGCAGTCCTATTTGTTCTCTTTTAAGGCAACAGAAACAGCCATAAGATTTTGCTTTATTCATATTGCATATACATAAGCCGTATACATATACGGCGCACTCTTTTATATATATATTTTATATGTATCATTTCTTCATTACGTATAATATTAATGATTGCCTTTTATAACAAAAGCATTTTCGATCATTGCTTTCTATAGCATTTAGTAAATAAAATATATCAATACCGTACTATTGGTCGCTTCTTGTTGACTCAATAGCAATGTAACTAAATTGATCAAATTTTGCTAAATAACAGGATGTAAAAAACCAACACCCTGCAGACTTTACATATGTTACAATTCGATGAACAAATTAAGCGGTATTAATTTATTTATATGTTATACACAATCCTGAGGAATTTCCGGTCCTCCTCCATATCTACCGTAAAGATAAAGCCATGCTTCTTTAGAAACATAACCGTAATCAGCACCTTGAAGTAAAATAACAGTTAGATGATATTCTAGTGAGAGTAAAAGAACAGCCTAAAATAATTAAAATATGTTTATACCAGTACGCAATTGTATCTTGCCATCACTCGTTAAAGTGACTATAGTTTCGTTGGATATAGGACCTGGAGGCTCTGTGAAAAACATTAGGAATTTCCATATAAATAAAACGTACATTTTAAAGTGCAGCTACAACGTTCATTCTATTTGTTAATCTTTCAATACGGTAGACGTTTAGTAATTACCTAAAGTTTCACATCTGACAAACCCTTGCCATTTACGGAACCACTGATAACTAATGCAATATGAAACTTCCCTAGCAGTATCCCTTTCACTTGCAGCCTTTAACTAAACATCATTAACAAGGTTATCAAACAGTAGATAAAGTATCATTTAAACTAATTCATACTTTCATAAAGTATTCATTTTCTTTTTTTCGTTTTTCTTCTCTTGTTTGATATATTTCCTACATAATTTAAAATAAGAAGCGATATATAACTATCACAACACCAAATGCTGTACAGGGTATCAATATTAAGTGTGCACTATATCCTTATTGCGAATTTTTCATTTACAATTCGTTATTTAGCAATAGTGATAATCCTAACCTGACACTTTTGACAAGTTTCAACCATCGACGCTTGTATCTTAGGACCACCCCCATATCTAACAATAATTGTAATTTATACACTTTATAAGTTTGCAGATTTCTTATTTATTCAATCGAGCTTTTAAGTAGAGCAAAATGCTTAGAAATCAATGCATTAGATGCAATTGTAAAGTTAATGCAGTTAATTTTATGCTTCATACTTATTACGGAGTTCATTCCAAACCAGCAAGGGCACCTTTACCGCAAAATCGTTGACATCAAATTTAGGGTTCGCACAATAAGCAGCTATCAAGAAGTAAAAAAAGTAAATTTTAACACTGCATGAAATAAAACTAATAACGAAATTTTCAATAAAAATTCGTACTTACCTCCATGCGGACACAGTAAATCTGTATTCGTAATAGGACCTAAGTATTTCAAGTATTAAAAAAATCATTAATGCATGATGGGCTTGCGGTAACAAATTGTATACAATTATTCGTCAAACTAACCTGGCTCTGAACAAGATAAAAACACCTGATACCATTGCTTCGAGATGTATACGAAATCGGTGCTCGACTAATTTAACATTAAAGCGTATGTATTACAGATAATTATAAGTAAATACTATCACATTGATCTGGATTGTAGAAATACCTCTTGCAAACGATTACGTGCAGCAATCTTAGATCTATCTTTCTGGAGCATTGGTGTCGACGATTTACTTTCGTGATAGCAAAGAATGAAACAAAAAATGTTGATATACCGTAATTCTTAAAGGAATTATCATAGCTGAGCGGTTAAGCAATTAAATTAATATATTTACCGATAGAATAGAACATACGCTTCCACACTTAAGACAAATTCATCGGCAACTATTAAAGAAAAGTAGGAAATTTAAATTCAAGACCTATCATCGAATATAATTGGATACTCGAACTAAAACATAAAATATCGGAAAAGTCTTACCTTCAGTAACATTTATATCGTCATATTCATACCACCGATGGTTAATACAATTTAAAGCATAGCAAACGTAATGCCCTCCTGTAACATAATGCTATATTAATATCTCAGCGCAGCAAAATCTATATAATAACTATGATTCTCGTCGTTAATTATCTACAGTGTTATCAAAAAATAAATGCACATTACATACCTCCGGCCGCTCCATGATGAGAGATTATGGCAACTAAATCGTAAGTGGTTGACTGAATTTTATGGCCTACAAACAAAATGATTTTATTAAAACTAATGAGACTTAAAGTTGAAATATTTATTAATTTTGAAAAATTTAATAAAGTTATCGTAATACCAGTATTTAAAAAGGATTTCATTTCCAATCCAGTTAATGGAAAGTTTACAGAACAATTTATTTTAGACGTAGAATAAGAATCATGCTTAAATCTTTTTAGATGTAAGCATAATATTTCTGGCAGGTGGGTGATCTTCGAATATTTAATGCCGTTTCGTAATCTATATTTTGAATATATGGGTACAGTTAATACGCTTAAATAGAAACCAACGAAAATCTACAACAGTGCATCTTCACGCACGATTTATTTTAGTAACCAAGTGTTGTACTACGGCGATAGTAGCAACAAAAATGGCAAGAAAAATATGAATCGAGACAATAATACTTACTTCTTACATTTTTCGCAATTGTACATATTATCACCTACAAATACATCAATAATATAAGTTAAAATTATTCCGAAAATGACTTCACCGTAATATCAAGCTATTAATTTTATCGGATTCACTGTTAACCTTTTAATTCATCTTCTTCAAAAAAAGTCGATAAACAATCTTCCAAAGGTACCGATCCCCAAATCCAGCTAGTGTTTGATTATGATACATTTAAACAGGCGAAACATAATACGAGAATAAAATTAACAAAAAAATTACCCTTTAAACCAATCCCATATGGCTTCCACCATCCCTCTTCTTTCTTCTTCTCCTGCAGTAATTGCTAACGCAGCACAAGGATTATAAGATTGATTACCAATCACCGTACTCAATTCACGTTTTCCTACACAAAAAAGTCATTGATTAGCTTGGTAGTACGAATAACAATATGCTACATACTTCGGAAAATGTGTAAAAATGAACCAGGGATATTTACTAATAATTGGCAAAGAAAGATCTTGGAAACTTTCTATCCTGGATGATACCTAGAAATAAGCAATTTCGTGTAAAACTTCATCTTGATGTAAGAGATCTAACGCATTGTTTAATATTTAAAAATCGAATTCTCCATAGAATAATCTCTAATAATTAACTTGACTTACCGTATCACATGAAAGACATCTAACTGAACTTATGATTCTTCCATCGAAAGTATCCGTAATAATACTATGATACTTGATTTGAGCTTCTAGTTTATTAAAGAGAAGATTTGCTTAAAATTTATATTATTATTATACAAACGATTAAGGGCGGTCTTGTATAATATCACTATTCGGAATAATAAGATAACAATATGCACATTTTATAAATACCGGGAGTTGGACGAGGAAGATCTGAAGGCACGGTGACTTTAGTGACTTTCTTTGTCTTTTCTTTTTCTGTATTTGTAAGTTTATTTATTTCTTCCATATTAAGTTCATCCTGAGGATCTTTCGCTACAGTATTGAAATATTTTTAATTACGGTAAGTAAACAATTCTACTTATGCAAGCAAATAATTATAAATAAGTGCCAGTAAGTGCTGAGGCTATAAATTTACAGAGCAGTACCGTATATTAATCAGTATTATGAACAAAAACTAATTATGAATATGTTAAATATAATATGTACAGATCGCTGAATCTTGCTTACCATTCTCCTTTTTAGCCTCGTCTTGTAAGAATTTTTCTCCAGTGGATGCAGAGCTTTCACTTTCAATCTCCGAAAGCACCACTTCAACGTAATCTTCTTCAATAAGATCCTTACACTTTTGAACCACATTTGTATCATTCGACTTATTGGAATTAGTATCGTCTTTACACGTCTTGTTAATAGCGATTACTAAGCGGTTGTCTGGATTAGGTAATTTATCAGTTTCCGTAGCGGTTCGCTTTACACTTATACCACGATTCGTATCAATACTTGATTTTCCATCATCTAGGCTAAAACCGCTTATTAGCAGTTTAGTTTCTTCGTGTAGAAGATTTAGTATACAACGTAAAAACTCATGCGCGTCCTAGAAAGTAAGAAAAGCTTTATTACGCTGATGAATTAACATCTATTCTATAACTTTAAATAACAAGGCAGATGCATTTCTTAAAAGCGGAATGTTTATAAGAAATTATATAACAGAAAAGCTATAAAATAAGCAATATTTTACCTGTTGTGAAGAACCTCTAAAAAGTGGGTTGGCTTTTTTAACAGATTGGACAAATTCAGTTGGTGTAACATAATCGTTTCTAATAACAATAAATCCATTAAATCAAGTTTGTATCATAAATAAATATTTACAAGCCCTAATGAATAATGAGCTAAACATAAGACAAGATCACTTCATATGGCGATAGTATTGCAAATTAGCGTTTATTAAAAGTACACCGTACATTTAAATATACGTGTGCATACCTTTTCTTGCTCCACATATCTTGAATAAGCTTACAATAGCGTTTAGCAATTGAGTCAACTGGAATTCTGGCAATATATTTTTCGCATTCTAAGCAGTACTGCGTCAAAGGTACGCTGTATTTGAATTAGAAACATTTTAATAATTAACAATTTACACAAATAAGTATGGATAGAAAATAAAGATATTGTTTGTACCAATTTGACATTGCCTGTAATGCTGCACTTATGTAGCATGTATTGCCAAGATTAGATAGCCCACATAAGCCTTGAATTTGACACAAATATTGTATAAATAGAGTTGATTATTTAAGCAGCAAATCATTACATTATAGACACAAGGTAGACTGTAGGATGACTATAGAAACAACTGATTCTACATTTAAATTACCTCTTGGCTTTAGTTGGCCGATATCATCAAGACTTTCTGATGACTTTGAACTCTGAGATATATTATCTAAAGTCTGTAAAAAATAAGCAAAAAAGTCAGTAATTCAGTTGATATGTAAGAAGTGAATAGTTATTATTATGACCTATGCATTCCTTTATAGATACGCGGTAATACTGGTTAACTGTAGCTACAGTAGTACACTACATTAATAATCTTAAAGATAATATACTGGTGTTCTACCTTGTCTTCAACGATTAAAGGCGGTTGCTTGGGTCTATGCGAATAGTTAACCGGAGGGTCATAATCCATTGAATCGTCATCAATATCGTTATCATCATAGCTGACATCACTATCGCCTTCTTCATCTGCATCCATTTCTTCTTGTTCAAAAATGGAAGTGACTTCACAGTGGCAATGGAAACACCATGACCTCTTAGTTGGTAGATGGAGAAATATAGCATGCCCTACTTCCTAAAGTAATTAACCAATGAGTAGATCAATTTTAACTTTTGTCTTCTATTGTAATAACAATCAAGTCTTAATTGCTTTTATAAACTATCCCCTAGTATGAGTTAAGACAAATATGTTGTAACAATCAAACAGTACAACAAAGAAATGATAGGGTCTATATAATTACCAAAGTAACACGGATGATATGAACGATCGATAGTTAAGTAAAGAATAGTTAATCTTGAATTGATATGATAGACCGTTAGATAGTGGCTTACCTCAGCATGTCGTTGACAATGTTTAGCACTGTTGATATCGCAACCAACGTAACCGCATCCAACCTACAGTCGCATTTTCAAGATAAGAGCCGATTATAGCGTAAGATATCGTTCTATTCGTATGCATAAGTTTAGGGACCAACAACAGTTTGGTTTCCTTACGAGATACGATGTAGTAGAAATTCTGTACTGCTAGAAAATACGGTGTATTGCACTAACATGATCAATTCTTGGAGTAAGGCCACATTAAAGCTACACTAATGTAGTGTCGCGCCGGGATAAGCCCAGTTTACAGTACTAGCTATAATTAAAATGTGCCGTATCTGTCAAGCATGCAGTTACACCATTAGAATTGAAACTAGTGAATAATAGACATTTGTTTGTAAGATCTACATGCGAACTATAACTACAATACATTACAGGTTAATTCGAATGAGTAATCTTATTAAAGTACAAGATACTGTAATTGTTGTCAGAATACATATAGTATCTCAATTACTGTATGATGACATATATATATATGTTATATATTGACCCTTGGAAAGGGATAGATAAAGACATCCTTCAATATCGAATAGGTGTATTATGCTAATTTACTTGCCTTTGCGCATAATAGCAGTTTACATTCCTTTTCTTGACAGAATGAACAACTTAGCGATTCCTATAAGGAGAAAAATTGTACTTGAATATACTGTGAATCTATTTTTTTCCTATTTTTCAAAAGAGTCTATTCAGTGTACTATGTAAAGATTGAGATCCAGTTATGATAACTTCATTGTAAGAGTGATAGTAAGAGAAACCTTGGTAAGCAAATACTAGTAACGAGTGAATGATGCTAGCATAACAACCTTTCTGAAACGTCATATACCTACTACATACATAGACTACTAAACACTTTTTGCTATAACAATGCAATCGAGTTCGAAAAAGAAATCGATAATGCCTTTTATAACTAAAGATTTGAATAAAAAGAACTTGTCAATAGGTTAACAGTATCATGGTAAGATATGTTTGGAAGTTTAATTTTCAATTTGGCCAGATTTTGTGCGCTATACAACGATGAGTACTGTGCATTTTATCCGATGCTGTTTACATAGCAATTTGCAAATTGAAGATTATCTATGCATATGTTGCTTTCAAATAGTAATCTCAACTACTCAAGATGTATATATATATATATATATTGTATCTACAGATGTAGGAGATGAATTTATTATAGCTACAGTGAAAATTTTGATAATATACTATGAAGTCTGTATTGATCTGCTATCGATCGCACTGGAGAAAGTCCTTGATGAAGTCGACTGCAAAGGAAACAAGGTAAGGCAGGATTGACTTTAACGTAAGTCGCCTACGATAATTCACTAGCGAAAAGACGTTTTATCACTGGCACATCAAATCTAAAATCAACAATAATGACTTCAATCTTCAGCATAGAAGCTATCGCATTCTCCTACATGTCACTGTTATCGTTCTATCGAAGTTAAAGACAGTCAATGGAAAAGAAAGAGTTGATCGACTACGATACAATCCTGTCTACCATCATTTTATTCTCTTCAAAATGAGCTGTTGGTCCAACTGACTCCGACGGTCAGTGATACCTTGGTAGAAACAATACGCTACAGTATAGCACTTTAGTGATGTACAGTATATAGCATAAGATTGTACAGGGATAGCATAACCCAATGCAAAAATTGGAAACGACTACCAAAGAATCCATGGTCATGCTTTGAAAGCAATTTAAAGTTATAAGACGGTATCGATTAGCTAGAATACAGATTACATGATTGAATAGCACCCTCCTCCTATTTGCGCGTGAAATAGCAGCAGTGGCATGAGTGCAACTTTGACCTATGATTCCAAATTACCATGCAAATCTTGCCAAGGATACTCACCGTAGGCAATCGATCAACATAATTGATAATATCTCTATCGATATAGAGCGAATGAGGGCAGGAATTACTCGGCATTTGGGTATAAAATTGAAATCAACAGTTCCGATTTAATCAACTTGACTCTCTGTCATCCTTTGTGGATTAGGTGGACTAGAAATCGGCGCGCTGAACCATTTTCTTTTAATGGGGGACACCAATCGGCCAAGATGCGATATACAACACTTCTTCAGTAGAGATGAGTAATCTGCGCCTGTGCTGTTTACAGACTACACTGTGGCGTGAGTCGATGCAGACCGAAGCTCTTGAATCACAATGTCTTGTACTGTACACTGTACTGTACAGTACAAGATGAACGGTGGCCGAACACAACTGATCTGACTACTGTACAGTACTGTACAGTACGAGACTACAGTACTGCCACTCTTCTCCGTAGTCCCGACAACCTGCAGTAGAGTACAGTACATTGAGTATCGCTGGTGATACTCTATGTGCCTGTACTTTTATTTTTACCTTCTATAATATAATTAATGAATTCCCTCATTCCGTAAAAGCATTTTTTTTTCATATAGCGGTTGAAATGGTGAAATATCCGCTCTTACGACATGTCGCAATCCACCAGTTTATTCAATGTTGTTTATCTCACGGACCGTTTGCATTTTTTAAACGTACCTGTACTGTACTGTACTGTACGTCTGTCTGTACTGTACTGTACAGTGCATGTCCACTCTTACAGCACTGCAGTACTGTACGTACAGTACAAGTACATACTGTACTGTACTGTACAGTGTACCTAAATGAGTTACTGAGTATACAGTACTACTGTATATACTACAACTGCACTACTATACAGTACAGTACTGTACAACAAGCACGGAGATACAGTATGTTGGAGACCTTATTTTGTTCCATGTACTGTACAGTACAGTACTGTAGACTGACGTCAGTACAGTACAGTATGTACTGTACAGTACTGTATGCGCGAGCATTTTTGAAACGTACTGTACTCTACTGTCCTCTATTCGTGGTAGTAGAAGCAGCGACTTGCCACTACTTCTCTCACAAGTCCATGGTAGTCCTCTACTCGTCCATACTGTCCATTTTCCTTGATTGGAAGTGGGATTGCAGCAGCTTCCAAATCAGTCAATAATTCATTCACGTGGCAGCACCTCAAATGGTCCATTCAACACCTGCCGCTGTGCCATCGCTACCAGCATCTTGTTTATCAGTGGATTGTAACCATTTTTGCTAAGGATATTGGAAACGATACAGTATTACGGTAAGTGGATTAGGATCGACCATAAACATATTAGCCCTGCTTGGGTTTGTCATAAAAGTCCTCGCCAGGATGAGCTGATGTTTTCGGTCGTATATATTCTACTGATATAACTTGCACGCGCATACAGTAATCATGCAATGATCATGATCACTTAGACTCTACGGATGCCAACAAAAAATAAAAGAATTTCGCCCCCAAGCAAAGGAAAAGGGGTGAAAAATAACAACGCCAAAAAAGATGTGTTAAACAGTGAATCAAAACCAACGGGTACACCGCCAATAACATCCAACCCGCATGGCCAACACGATGACTCCAATTTAACTACGACAGTAAATCCACCAGAAAACGAGAATAACGCTATGGAAGAAAACGAGAATAACGCTATGGAAGAAAACGAGAATAACGCTATGGAAGGAAACAAGAATAACGCTATGGAAGAAAACGAGAATAACGCTATGGAAGGAAACGAGAATAACGCTATAGGAAATCAGACAAGAAATAGGGTTAGGAATATATAGTGTAAATATTAATATTATACCAGCCAGTTTGTGTTGTCAAAGTGATTGTACAGTGCAGTATGATGAAGCAAGCAAGGACATATCTCCTGATCGAGTCTGATTGACCTAGTACACTATTTGATTCGGTATTGAAGGCAATCTTCACCTGATGTTGTTATATTGGTAATTACTTCACTATTCAAGTACAATTAGAAAGCAGCAGCAAAAAGTGAATGCCAAAATGTTCTTTCTATCCGCTTGATCAATGAATGATACTACAGTAAGCACAGCAATGCGATGATACCAAAGGAAGAAATTCCTGCGAACAGTGTTATTGTGCAATTGACTATGACGATAGTACCGTAAAAGCTCCACGCTAAACAGTTGTAATAATACACTACAATAACACTCGAGAGACTTTATCCAAATCTTGCATAGTACTGCACGGACATCGACTGGAACACCGACCCTAATTCATAGCAGTACTACTGACAGTAGTCTACTGTACATCTACTGAATAATGAATTGACTACAATAAAAGTTTTCTTATTTTACTTCACCAATGAGTAACAATTATTACATACATCTAAAATGTCAATGTTTTAATTGTACTTTAATATACGCATATGCTTACTCCACCAAATGTACATCAATCCGATCAGAAGCCTAAACAAACTCCACCTTCACCAGACAGTAATCCAAGGAAAGATACACCTTCCAACAGAATTACCAACCGTAGCGTGCCGATCATACTCGTATGCTTCTGTATACTTGCTCTAATTTTTCTACACTGCATCAGATCTAATGTCGATCGGAAAGCATCTACCTTAAATGAGATGGAAGCCATTAGCCAATCTCGCAAACTAATACAAGATTTAAAAAATCATTTTTCATCCCAAACTGAAAATACTTGGAAAAAACTAGCTTTTCTAGCATTCGGGATATATAATACTGGGCTGCAACGGGAAAAGCCGTTAGTTTTCACTTTAGCTCATCGATCAAACGCATTCAAATCTAGTCGTTGTTTAATTATGAAGCTTTTAGATGCTATACCAAAACCGTTCATGGAACTTAATGTCCATGGCGAATATAGTCGTAACCATGCTTTGGATGAAAACTTGGAACATTCCTTCTTGAAGCAATTAAACAAAGCCTTAACGACCAACACCATTCCTATTACTAACAAATTACATGCGTTAAATCCTAAATTAGCCCGTCAATTTCAAAGTTACTGTGACAATGACGATGCACCTTTTAAGCAAGCAGTTATCTTGTTTCATGTAGCTCTTAATGGCACTTATGACGACAACCTATTATCGAGCAATGAGATTTATGTAGAGAAAGAAGTTACTAAGGTATTAAAAAACTCGTGGAGTCCAATGGAAGAATTTATATTTGATCCACTTTCTGCCAGAATTCTTCAAAATATCGTTGTTATCAATTCAGAAGAAGACTTCCAAGGATGCTGAATCGTTGACAGCATTTGCTAATCCAATTTCGAATGTATTCTAAATAAAAATGAATTGCCGTCGAATCGATGATAACTTTTTTTGAATTGCATGACTATAAACAATTCTATGGAGAACGATTATACCTAAATAGAATATCGAATCTTCATGAAAAAATAAGAAAAATATCTGGTATCTACGGCTAAGTATGACAAATGGAACTCAAAAAAAGATTAAAGAAACACAATTCACATCCGGTATGGGTATTCGTATACTGTAGTAGCATATTATACTATTTTTTCAGACTTTATTAGACTACGTAATAATGTACGCATGATGGCAAGGCTTGTAAATGTAAGAAATCATATTTTTTATTCATTGTTATGGAACCTAAAGAAGCTTTACTAGTTACAAATAAGGTAGGAAGAGTAAATATTTTATCTCGTGCCGAATACTGTATCTGAACGTGTATTGCTGTAATCTTTGTCTCGGTATACGTTTATAGTTTATGCCCAGCACCTTGTCATGGCTACACACGCATGTTACGCTTATTACATTAAACTATCGTTCAATTAGACTTTATATCGATTAGATTAAATTAAACTGTCGTATTTGTGGACAGCGTATATATATAAGCATATTTATCTTTCTATTTGTACTATATCTAAGATAGTCTTGATTAATCTGTTACTGTTTTATTCACATAGCTTAAATATGCTTATTACCTGCAATGCAGTCTGCATTGTTCCATAGATATCATTGCCCATTTGATATGAAAATAAATATATTTTCGATGATTTTTCTGCATGCATCCATTGCGTTTTGTAACAATTCCATATGTATAATCTATCTAAAAGTTATGAGGTTGTTATTGACATTATTCTTTATCGGACGCTTTTTCCAACAAAGGTGTATTACACATTTAATCGCAACGTGTAATGGATGGGTAAATCAAACATAGTATACGACAGATCTGCGAATGTACAGTAGTACCTTGCACACGTTCAAAAGTAAGCAATGCTAATTATGATTACTATCGCATACAATTCGAATGGCTGGCGCTGAGGACCCTGGGTTAAGTCAGATTAGTATGCTCCTATCCGGAGATGTAGCTTGCTGAAAAGTAATATGCTGTAGTTTGAAATATTGATATTAGAGCTAGTAACGTTCAAATCTACATTTGCCTAAAGTTATTGGAAAGATAATTCAATTTACAGTAAGCAAAGTAGTGAACTACATACTGTAGAAAGAAGGTGGCCTTAACCAACGAAAGCTATACAACTTGATTAGTGTACGCATACGATATTTACCGTACAGAATAAAGATTTTACAAGCAATGCATACTACAAGCATCACAATCATAACGATGAATCATAACGTATGTCATTTATCAGATCTACCGTAATTATTGACCTTTTGCTCAGTGATTACTACTACGTAGCTTACTATATGCCAATGTACAGGTAACACTGGTATCCTAGTTGCCTCATTTTAATACCTGTATACTTTACCTACAACTCACATGATACGTATTTACACGGTGTCATTAGTGATCAGATTGACGCTTTCCGATTAATTCCACAAGCGTAAAGTGTACGCGTACAACGATATTTTAATACTGTAGTTAAAATTCTTCATTATGTAAATATCCTCATCTGTTTTTAAGCAACATAAAATACATACTACTAAGCTTGCCTATCAGAATCATAAAGTCATTCACTTTATTGACCAATACAACATGCGCGTACATCCTAAACCTCTCTTAAAATATTCGTATCTAGACTTCAACTACATGCGTCGATAACTAAATGCTTAACATGACGATATAACTTTATTCGTGAAGGCTTAGGATATGGTAGCTACCACTTGAAGTAGCGCAATATTCAAGCAGTTCTTTCATCATGATGAGATCCTGAAGATGCAGTAACGCCCTTGATAAGATCCGCTGCCTTTTCACCAATCATTGCTATCGGTGCATAAGTATTGCAAGAAACCATTTCCGGAATAATACAAGCATCAACAACACGAATTCCTTGTAACCCTCGAATTCTAAGTACAAGATTTACAATTACAGCTACTGTACAGTACATCTATCCCATTCTTTTATCTTATTAACCAAAATATCAATTGCCAAAATTAATTCAGACCTTAACTGCGGATCTACTACAGCAGCATCATCATTCTTATCTCCCATCCTGCATGTTCCAATCTATAAATTATAAAATTATCTGTGTTAATAACCAACCCCTACTTACTTAGACTAGTAACAATTAATATCAAGGCTAGACTCACGTTATGATAACTGTCATAAGAAAAATAACTTAATACACTTTCCCAATATTCAATAGAATTGTATTCATAAGGACAATCAACATTATATCGATGAATTTCCTTGATGTATGGCTTCATATATTTACTACATAACAAATTATGGCTAAATTGCATTCCCTGAAAGATAATGACATTATAAATTAAAGAAAAAGTCCAACGCTGTGCTCGTAAAGCGTAACAATACTAAATAGTGTACACTACTTTTGCCATATCGCGCATATCATCCCTGTGCTGAAAATAATTGGGTTGTATCTCTGGTTGATCTTCTGGATTTGTTGTTTTAAGTTTAATCCACCCTCTACTTTTAGGATGTGATAGTATACAAATAAGGTTCAGCCCTACCAATAAGAATTAATGTAACGGCACGTTAATGAAAAAACAAGTTCGAAATTACCCCACCTCCTTTAAAAAATATATGAAATACCAGCAGTTGATGGATCATGAGGGCCTCCAACGTACATAGCAGGAAATCTATAGATCAATTTCAGTCGCACAATATAAGAACACATCGCTAGTACATAACATTACGCTAATGTCGATATTATTCCATTGCATAACATTCACTCTTTTCAAGTACAAATACACACGGTAATTTATTACTTGTTGAGACTGTTACTACTTTCTAAGTCTGTAAGACAAGAAAATATTTCTTGTAAAAACGCGTAAGAACGTACTTTTTCTCATCATAACGAAAATTATTATAATAAACGGTTTGATCAGGTCCGATACACATGAGATGAATTAGCATTTCAGCCCATGGAACTTCTTCCTATATTAAAATGACAGTATTATATCAGAATCTTAAGTGTAGTCCTCTAGATAAGTTTTCCTGGTATTCAACTGAATTACATATGTGGAGCCCTATTTCCTCTGATTTTTGCCATCATATTAAATTATGCATCATCGAAAACTTACAGCGTTCTCACTGACATTAAACAGAGCGGAAGCTTGGTAACCAGCAGAAGTTAGAAACCCCTAAGTAACCCAATTATAATTAATTAATTCATAGCTAAAATATATTAATAAAGAAGTCTTAAGCTCAATTATTCACCTCTTTGAAAATCATATATTTCAGTAATGTCGAAAGGGATGAAGCACTTTCCTTAGTTAGACTATACTCCTTAATGCTATCCACCGTGGAAGCAGACAAGACCATGCAATGGTGGCTCTAAAGTGATACAGGTATAATATCCGGTATATTAACACCGCAAGTAAATGAGCCACTTCTACTTTACGGAACCATTCTCTACCTGTAAGTTAAGACCAACCGGTAGATTGGCAACAACGGGAATCTAAGGGAAAAAGTTCATTTAGTTAATAATTGATATAAAGTAATCATAATATTATTTCTCTGATTCAATATTGCAAAGTCATTTGCATTTAAGCTATTACACTGTCAAAATACAAACTATACATTATTAACATAAGGCTTTGATTTGTAATACAGACATTTAATTCCATTAGATCATTTTGTGGTCCCACACCAGACAGCAGTAAAAGTTGCGTTGTACCTACTATTCCAGCAGATAAAATAACCTCGCGATTGCAGTGAACAGTTTGTATTTTTTGTCTATAAAAGAAATTTACATTATACTCGTATACTGTAAGTCGGAACCGAACAGTAAAGGACATTTCTTATAAAACAATAAGAAAGTCGAAGTAAATAAATTCTTACTTTTGTGAAAATTCAACACCAACAGCTCTTTTACCACGAAAAATTACCTTAAATATCAAGCAGTGAATACTATTTAACCTTAAATTAAGATATTAAATCTGGATACTAGATTTAAGTTATATTCACTGCAAGGTTAAACATGACTTGATTTTATGCAGTAAGTAATGCATTATTACAATACCTTTCCGACATGAGAATGTATACCGATAAATAAATTTTTCCTTTCCAATACTTCCGCTGTAAGATAGCATTGTGCCGTACTTTGGCGTTTTCCGTTGCCAACAAAAACCTGTCCTCGATCAAACCCATTCTACGTGTGTTTAAGTTTTAATACAATAATAGTTATACTAAAAAGAATTGTAACATTATAAATACCAATAATTATGGCATCAAATATAGTAAACTAAAGATATATGTATACTAACTTTAATACCACCATTTAGATCACAAGTAGGATAACCCGCATCTTCGCCTAACATAATGATAAGATTATAAGCATAAACTAGCAGAAAATTATAATTACAGATCTAATGACTTTAAAGCAGTATCAATGAGATATAATCTTACTGATCTTGTGTTGTATACCTGCTTTAAGGAAAGCTTCAACGTACGGTGCTTCTACGAGTGAATCACTAATAGTAATCGGTCCTCCAACACCATGCTGCGGATCATTTCGAAATTCTGCCCTGGACATTGGACATGGTAAAAATTTTAAAACATTGACTTCTATTAATTGTCCATGTGCTATACATAGTACAGTGTATGTCATGATCGATAACTACGGACAGAGCAGTAACCAAGTGAGTAAATAGATGCAGGTAGTTTGAACCTGGTATTATTTTCGTATTTTTTAAAATAAGGTAAGACGTCGTTGTAACTCCATCCATCAGCACCTAGTATAACAATGCATTCATTGATACCGTATATGGTCAATCATAATCTTAGCAGTAAAAGCGTTTCTATAAATTTCTAGTATCTCTACCATTTCTCCATATTGCATACGTATGTATAAAGTAGTACTGTATAAGTTTAAATAGTGCCGATACAGTAATACTGTAGATAGCAATAAAAATAAAATAAAGCTAACTTATTCTTAAAAACTCTATTAATCTGAGTATTCTGCATCATGTCAACTACAAAATACCGTCGGTTTTCATTACCTAACTCTTGCCACGAATCAAAATCTCCCTTACAACCTCTCATATACACCATATAGTTAATTGCACTTGAACCTCCTAAAATCTGCATGTAATGAGCACGCCATAATTTATTAATAATAATATACTGAAGTTGTAATCATTTAATGAGTTACATGTATTTCTTAAATGTAGTGCAAATCACTTAACCTCAAAACATATAATCATCGTACAAATACTGTAGTAATGAAAGTAGCCGTCGATTTTAATCCAGTAAACACATTATACTAGTCCTTGTTTCACCAGAGACTACTCGATAATAATAATAAATCAAGAGAGAGAGAGATGGTTTTCACGTATGCGATAACTTTGATCTGTTATTCGTATCAATTGATTTAGAACTGCGTGCAGTAAATGCAAAGTATTATCAGTCAGCAAAAAATATGCTGCTACTTGTGTGTCAACGAATACATAGCTCACTATAGCACTAAGGGCAAAGAATGGAATGCCATACCTTTCCGCGCGGCCATAATGGGCAATTATCAATGAAGGCTTTGCATACATCTTTTTGCGGCAATCCCTAGGCAAAGATACAAGAATAATATGAGTACACTAACATTCCTTTGAATCGTTGTGCAAAGCTGTAATTTAGAGGTAATAAAGTCCAAATGTCAGCTAAAATCCAAGAAGCCGCCACGCCGCCATCCGCGTAAGAACGTACATTAGATAAGATGCCGCCATTACAAGTATACGAGTAATACTATACAGTACAGTACAGTATAAAATAGATTCAGTATTCTCAAACTCTTGCTATCTTCTATTTTTGACTTTGATCTTCCATCTCTATTTCCATTTATACCACTTTAGACAGTACCTCGACTGCTGCATACGGAGACTGTGGGGCATCAGTTGCACACAGTTTTAGCTTTCTATGTATACTCACAACTAACAACTGCAGTAGATCGATTTTAACAACCAAGGTGCGCTCCGACTCTGAGCTCTTCTTTGTTATAGCTTAATGTCATTCACGTTTTGGTTATGTTTAATTGATTATTATCATAATTTAATTAGCAGTATAGTAATGCTTCTTAGGCAAAATTGACATTTTCATTTACAACTCATCAATCCCAGGCTGTAGAGCTTTTACGATTGGAAAAAATGACTGGGCGGAAAAACATGGATCTCAAACAATAACAATATTATAGACACCATAATGTCAAAAGCGTAGGTTTACAACAATTCTGCTGAGCTCCATGTAACCAAAAAATCATTGATTCACAATTTACAATATTTGCAGCCTATAGACTACTCCTAAGTTTCGTGCAGTATATGAATCAGCAGTTAACAGTATCAGTAAATAAATCAAAAAATAAAATAATATTTTGAATGAAAATAAAAAATAAAAAAAATTAGCGGCGTCATTGTATTGTAGAGGACGTATGCATGTACAGTATGTAGATATAATTTGGCATTACATCGATAGCAGCTAGTAAAGTAGATCGGTACTGTATCGATGCCAGAATACTGCACAATGTACATTCACTGACATCGATCAAGCGATCTGCTAGTAGCGAATCCTGCATTTGCACTTGGATAAACTCTTTAATAATTGAAGCAGAGAATGGAATACTGTTTACACCCTTCCTACTCATCATCATTCTCATCTTTGCTTTCAATTCGTGTTTCGAATCGCCTCTTATTCGGTACAATTGATTTGGAGGGAACCAATACAGTAGTTCATGATACGTAATTATTGTTATTGTTTCAATCGCTGTACAGTTGGAATACCATCTGCAAGACTGCAACTTCACAAGCTCGTTGAAGGCAGATATGAAATAGAAGATACTGTGTTCTAATACTCCATAGTAGAGTAGAGTATACGAGTACGCGTACATTACTCGTAGTGAAACGAATTGCAGATTTTCGCTCAGCATTCCTTGAAACGCCATTCTTACAACAGATCCTCTATACACTTTAAACAACATTGATTTACCTTGTAACTCCAATCAATGCCAGAGTTCACTTGCAAAGTGCCTGTTGCAGCAGGCACTGGAACAACTGGATTATCAACATATTTTCCTCCAGCTTCTAAAAGCAAGACTGTTACATTAGGATCTTCGCTCAATCTATTGGCCAATATACAACCCGTTGTGCCACCGCCAACAATCACGTAATCATAGCTTGTTGCAAAGGTATCAATGTAGGGGTCATGAACTTGGCGATACATAAATTGATACGCCATATAAGATGCAAATAGACCACTACCGCATTTGAGAGCTAATTCTAATTTCGACGACGAAGACATGTCGATTTAACTCGAGCACCGTAGTACTTTGTGGATGATAATCAACCACTAGCAATTGTGATCACTCTCTTTCTTCCCTTGAACATACTATAACCCGCTCTAAATTAAGTGTATAGTAATCCCACCCACCCTCCCTTGAAACGAGCAGCGCGGGGGTATTTATACTACTATTAAATGACTCTGATTATGGGTTCATTTCAATAGGTCAGTATAAGATTCTTACAGTACTTTTAACCTAAAGATTTCTTCATGTAAAACGAATAGCTCTAAGGTAGTAATTTCTGCAGAGTACTGATTATTAAAATAGTATTCGTTATATCGCTAAGGGTGGCCACTGGGCCTTTAAATTTTGATTTCATGCAATATTCTGATGAAAATTGAATAAACATAGAATCTTTATAGAGTTTTCTATACAGCCATTTTGATTGTTACATTTTCTTATAACGGTTGTTATCGACAGAGCAAGCTTTGCTTGCATACGACAGCGATCCTTAGACACATTATAATGATTGGTATAGAATTGACCACAGTACGAAGGACATTCTACCGCACTGTAGATATCTTACAGTACCTGCTAATCTTAACTTGGTATGTCCATCACCGTACATTAGTTATCATAATGTGCTCTGGACCATTAACTAATCTTAATATAGCATAGTATATTACTGTTACTAGGATATATATAATATCGAATGATAATACTATCTGTAA